AGGTAGTCTTGCCCGTGAATGGAAGCAACGTCTCAGACAGAAATATGGACAGTTTGTAGGGAGGTGAGTTGATAGTGGAAACGATGGACCGAAGTGGAGTACCTTCTTTATGGATTTTTGGAAGACCATAGAATCTGGGTGGTCTAGTAGCAGAAGGTTTTAGGGAGAGCCGCTTGAATGGTTCAATTAGAGATGTCGAATTGGTAATATTGTTGGTTTTTGTAGCCAGGCAGTTGGTAGGATCGTTGTTGATTTTGGTGTAATTGCCATCATTAAGAAGGTCCTGGTTTGTGTTGCTGTATGTGGTTTTATCCATGATGACAGTAGCATCCCTTGTCGGCTGAGAGGATGACTATGTCCTCTCTCTCTTTCAATTTGACGAGTTCAGAGTGCTCGTCCTTGCTGATGTTACTAATGGGATTCTTAGCATTTTTAAGGATGGTAGCAATTTCAGATATTACCACCTCTGTCGGGATGTGTCCCAAGCCTTTGAGGGCTACACCTACCCGGGCAATTGTGATCCACTGGGATGTGTTTGGGGGTGACAGCAAAATTTAGCCCCCTAGCTAATACCGATTTTAGGCTATCGGAGATCGTGCTGTTACTCTGATTGATAACAGTCTTGTTAACATCTAGCTTTTTAATTTGTGGATCTGGTTTCTTTTTTGACAAATTTTTGAATTTAGCAACAATTTTAACCTTGCATTTTGAGGACATTGTTGTGGCAGAAGAAGCAGGCATGTTATCTACAAGGTTCCAAACAGATGCGGACATTTTATCTGTTAATGTTAAGTATGATTGTAGGAGACATTTGTCTAAATTATCAAGTTCAAGTCTTATCCTCTCTGAGATTAGAGAAAGGCTAGCTCTGAATAAGATCCGTTTAGAGTTGGGAGAAGTGACAGAAGCTGATGTGAGTGTAAATGTGTTCGGTATTACCTTGTTGTCGCGCAATCTCTTCAGAAAGGTGAGAGCCTCGATCATGTCAGCCTTCTTGTCTCGCAGTCTGTTAAAGACTCTAACAGATGCGTGGAACTTATTTGCGTTTAGTTTATTAACCTTCCCCCACACTGTTGATTAGCACCATTGGCTACATGCGGTGCAAAAGAAGTTCAACATACATAGTTGGGATTGGCAAAAACATCCCAATCCTGAAATATTTACCCTATAAATTGCTAAAAATGTTGGTTCACACAGCTGTTGTTGTTATTTTCCTCGTGCCTGCAGAAATCCTGGCTCACTTTGGCCCTTACTTGACTGACCGCGAAAAGCTGGAGCTCGCAGCCATGCAAGAAGTGTGGTACTTTGCGCTCGACAACAAACCCAAGGGATTCAACAGGCATGGATATGATGACGACGAACGTAATTACATTCTGGTGAGGCTCACCACAAAACGACAGCCTTGGGGGCGGTCACAGGGCCCAGAGGTAGTGGGGTTTGTGGCTTCTTGTTATTGCCCCTGAATTACCAACCAGGGCAATGACACACGCACACACCAACGAGCTTCACAATCAGAATGTTTAATCCCGAGTAAAGCCCTTTTAGATAAGAATCAAATTTTCAAGGTAATCTTAGCCAGCAGACAGTATCAAAGCATTCGACAATTACACCCACTCAATCCCTCACCGACCCACTCGCCCACTCACCAACGCACTCACCCGCACACATCTGAATCAGAAGTTTATTTCCCGAGTAAAGCCCGTTGAGCTCAGTAGCTCTTTTTAAGGGTAACTCAGCCAGCAGACATCTGAGCATTCCATATTATGGTAAAATAAAACTTCATAATTACAGCAATTTTTTTTATTACATTCACACTTTTTAAACGTTGTGATTTTAACAATAGTCAATTAAATGATTGTACCTCTTTGTGCAGTTCCGACATGATCACCTCCACTACCGCTATGAGGTGCTCAAGATGATTGGGGAAGGAGGTCAAGGCCAGGTGATCCAGTGCCTTGACCACAAAAGGAACACCTTGGATGCTGTAAAGATCTTAGTGTCACCGTCGAGGTAAGACTTCAGAGACGTGCCATCACGAGTCCGACGTTGTTGTTAAGTCCATTGCCGGGCGATGCAGTGGTGACACTCGTGCTTCACAGCGAGAAGGGGGGGCCTTGGTTCGGCTCCTGACTCGGGCGCCATTGTGTGTGGAGTGTGTACGTTCTACCCGTGTTCTGCATCGGTTCCTTCTGGGTACTCTGGTTTTTCGTCCCTAAAGCTTAAAATACATACACACATAGTGTCAACTGGTATGGGCCAAAACATTCCGTTGCTAAAAGATTACCTCCACATTACAGTAAGTCATCATTTAATGCTGTAGATACATTCCTGAAAAGTTCCGCATTAAGCGAAAAAGCATTGAGCGAAAATAATCTCTCCATAAATAATGTAACAATAAAGTTTGGTGAGATACAATGCACACACTGAGATGATGAGGCCAATAACTGAGGGTATGCTGCCATGTTAGTTTTATCATTCCGAGTACTGTATCATACCGCTCAACGGTGCAGCTCAAAAAAGTATTTTGTTGTCGACTACTCACAAACCACGTTATGATGGGCTTATTCCGTGTTATAATGGGTGCGTATCTTGTTAGAATGGGCGTGGTCCATCTTGTAATGGTCGCGTTTCGTGTTACAACAGGTACATTCTGCATTGTGTAAAAAGTGTGGAAGAACCACGTTATAGCAAAAACGCGTTGTTTTAACACGCGTTTGCATTTAGTTTTCCCGAATGACCAATCTGATTTGAATGGCTATTCACCTTCAAATCCTATTGGGCACCCTACGTCGGCTCCTGCGCCCCGTATGGTACCAATGAGAGTCGAGAATGCTACTTTAGCTCACAATGCTGTCAGACCTGGTGAAAGTATATTTAATTATTTTATTCTGAATAGTATATTCCTCTGGGTATTTCTTAAGCAAGTGTAAGTTATTAATTTGTAGACTTCCTCTGCGCAGCTCCAAGGAAGAAGCATTGCAGAGGATGGAGCTCCAGATAGCTCTGGAACTTCAGAGTGAGGACAGCAATGAAGATTATAACGTCATCAAAGTCCTAAACAGCTTTGATTTCAGGGGACACCACTGCCTTGTCCTGGAGCTGTTGAAGTATGTACCGCGTGTTCCATCTACCCCTCCCCCCACTAATAGCGTGGTCAACTGATTAACTAAACAAACTTTTTTATTTTCCTGGGAAAGTCCACTGACCTATTAGTTATTTTTTGTAAGCGACCTGCCCACACATTATAGCTTAACAAAGTAACTAATCACGTGGAAATGTATAGCAGCCAAATACTATAAATGCATGTTGATTCGAAATGTGTAGGGGAAAACCAGAGGACCTACAGAATAATCCACATGACCACAGGGAGAACATGCAAACTTCAAATGTACATGCGTCAAGTTCGGGATCAAACCCCACGACCTTACCAGGCGGAGTTTTTATCTTCTCCCCATGGATAACCCTCTACCACCTGGCAAAAATTCCAATGAAATCAATTTGTCCAGTGGGCAAATGAGCCAACTGATTTGGTTTATCGGCAAACCAACGACCTGAACCCACACTGAACTATGACTCTAAATATTGGTCGTGAACATGCACGAACAATATTAAGATTATTGTCGTTAGCAGAATCAGCACAGCATTTAAGGAGATGACACTGACACTGTGTTGGTTTTGTTTCTGCTTTTGTCTCTCTCACAGGGAGAGCCTTTATGATGTGATGAGAGAATCGGGGTTCCAGTTAGACATGGAAATGGTGAAAAGCTATACCAGGGGAATCCTCATGTTCCTGTGCCACATCTATTCCAGGAACATAGTTCACGCGGACATCAAGCCAGTGAGTGGACACAGCATTCAGTATGACTTTGTTGCAGAGGTGTATCGTTATTAGGGAATCGTTCCACGGAGAAAACCGGCCACGTTAGTCACAAGGTCGATGCGTTCGCTCTTTCCATCTAACTGGAAGGAGGCAGGGTCATAGTACCCCTGGTGAAGATAATGCCGTATGAATTAAACTGTAGTGTAGAGTCGTGCCGGCAACGTTGATCACAGCGTTACCCCAGTCCTTCGGAGACAGAAACTGGAGCAAATAAAAAGATTTCCTAAGTGTGCCAAACATGTATTTTGACCTGACAGCTGCCCGTTGTCGGCTTCCACACTGCGAATGAAAAACTTCCATCATGGAATCGGCAAGCTCTCATGTGGAGCTTTTGGTCCGTAACCCGTTAAAGGGCACTCTTGCAGCTGTGAGCTCCATACGGCTCTCCTGTCGGAGGAACAACGATCAGTTGTCAATAGGGCTGCCCTCCTTTACTTTGATGGTGCCTCAGAGTGCTTTGAACATGAGCCTCAACTCAAATCTCTATTCTAGACGCAATTGAAAGGGGCAACCCCCAGTAATAGCTGTCAACAAACACCGAATGTTGCACTTGACTGACGCTCGTCGACGGCACTATGCCTCGTTTAATTCCCCTGTTTAGTGTCGGTGGTGGTACGTGATCGTTCCACTGCTGGCTGAATGTTATTGGCATAACCTCTGAGTTTGAATTAATTCTGCCCCTTCTCCTGCAGGAAAATGTTCTTGTCAAGGACACCGTGACCGGCACTGTGAGGGTCACGGACTTTGGCACGAGCTTTTTTGTGGAAAGTCAACGTGAGTGACCCCAACTGGGTGTGTGAGCGTCTGCGTGTAGGTGTCTGTGGGTGTCTTTGTGTATGGGTGTCTTTGTGTCTGTGTGCGAGTATCTGTGTGTAAGTGTTTGTCTGATTGTGTCTGTTTGAGTATCTGAGTGTTTGTACATGTGACTGTTTATGTGTGGTGTGAAGATGTTGTTTAAGAAACAGTGAGTACACAAACACACATATATGTGTTGTTCTTGTGATTGGTGTGCAGCAATGGATGTTGGTGGGACCCTGGAATACAAGGCTCCGGAGCTGTACCTGGGCTACAGCTTGACCTGTGGAGTAGACATGTGGGCGCTGGGTTGCACGGTGGCGGAGTTGGCAACGGGCAGGCAATTATTTCAGTCCGAACGTGACGAAGATCACCTCCCGCGCTGCATTGAGGTATTTCCCACTGGGCGTCCATCTGCTCGTGATCCCCCTCTCTTTCCTTGGAGTCGTGGGTTTTGGGGGTGGCAGGAGTGGGGGTGACCACTTAGTGATCTGGCGAATAGCGGCCGTCGTATGTTGTGTATGTGTGTACACGTGTCCGTCTTGTACGTGTGACGGGAGCGGTAGTGTAGCGATTAGCATGCTGCGCTATAAACTGAGTTTGATGCCAGCTCATGGCCCACACTAGTGATGATTATCTGAACCTGTCCTGGACCTCCCTTAGTCAGACTCAGCCTTAAATGAGTATCTAGAGCAGTGTGTAAAATACCTGGGTCAATGTGGCCCACCACCCCTGTCTCTGTGTGCCATAATGCTGGCCCTCAACAAGCGCTGCTGCTGTTGCTACGCCATACTAACAGCACTTGCCCCTACAGTCAGCTGAGGTTACATGGGTGACCTTTGTCTTTGTCTCAACCATGTGCAGATTCTGGGAATGCCTCCAAGATACATGGTGAACGCAGCTCCCGACAGAAGGCAGTTCTTTGGTGAGTTAAAGGGTGGTGCGAGCGACGGACCGGATTCAGTTTTAAGGAGAGGCCTGTGGCTGTTGTCATTTTTTGGGGGGGAGGGGGAAGGGAATGGCCTCTTTGTATTTTAAATTCCTTGGGTGAGTGGGTGGGTAAATAGGTGTGTGGGCAATTGGGTGGGTATGTGGGTGAGTAGGCGAGTAGGTTGTAGGGTAAGTGGGTGAATTGGTCAGTGGGTAAGCGGGTGGGCGGGTGAGTGGGTGGGTGGGTGGATCGGTGATTGGGTAGGTGCGTAGGTGAGTGAGTGGTTGTGTAGGTGGGAGAGTGGGTGGGTGAGTGGGTTGATAGATGGGTTGGTAAGTGGGTAAGTAGGCGACTTGGTGGTTGCTGACTGCATCTGTCCCCCTGTGCATGGCTCCCGCAGACCATCGAGGGAAGATGTTCTGCCCAGGCAAGAAAAGGGTACCGGGGAGCTTCCCACTTGACAGGGTGCTCAAAAGCCACGACCCGGCGTTTGTGGAATTCGTCAGCTTCTGTCTGCGGTAAGAACCACCCACCACTCCCTCCCCATGAGGATCCCCCCCTCCAATTGATCGGCGATCACTCTCCACCGATCGCCAGGAAAATGTGGAGCTGAGTGGACCTGCTGATGTGCAGTACCACCGGTGTCAAGATTGCCCTCTATGGAGGAGGGGGAGGTCCGTGCAAGATGCTGCTGGCCAATGCGAAGCTCGGGGCATTTTTAAGCTACTGGGCATCTGAGGATTGCCACTGCTCCTGCTGCTTCCGCTGCTGCTGTGCATTCCTGGACCTCTTCGGAGAAGGGAAGGAAGTTCAATGCTCTCACCAAGCTTCTCTCACCACGTGCGGCGCGTGTATCTCCCACGCGTCTCTCAACAGATGGGATCCGGATTGTCGTATGACGCCAGCGCAGGCGCTGGATCACAGGTGGCTCCGGACCGCAGTCACCAGCACCACCAGCAATGCCACCACCACTGCTACTCCTGGCCGTGTACAGTGCTTTGGAGCTGCTGAACGACGGCAACCCACTTTCTGCTTGTCCAATGTTCAAGGCAGTCCATAGAGAGGTGTGGGGCCAAGGCAAATCACAACTCCATGTTCCACATGGAGAAAGTGGCCCAAGTATGGGCATCAAACCTAGGTCCCTCTTTGGCTGTGAGTTCCAGCCCTGCCACCCACAAACTAACACGGAGAGTTCAAATCCCACGTGTACATTCGGTTATATACGGATGTATTTTTATAATTACTTTCTGGGTGAGGACAAATAATGAAGCGGCCATATCTTTGCCATGTAGCCCTTCATCCACTGTGACATTGCCACCCCCCCACCCCCCCCCCCCCCGATGGTGGAGGGAGGGGATGGCTGCGGTCTCTGCTGTAGCAGTAAGTTGGAACGATGTTGTGCGCATATCTTCACAGAGCGGAGCCGGTGCTGCCCCCATTCTCCTCGCTCGCCCAGGCCTCTGAATGGAAGCTGAAGGTTGTGGAGGAAGAGGAGACCCTGGTGGAGGAGCTGGTGGTGCAGGAGGAGGAGACCCTGGTGGAGGAACTGGTGGTGCAGGAGGAGGAGACCTTGGTGGAGTAGCTGGTGGTGCAGGAGGAGGAGACTCTGGTGGAGGAGTTGGTGGTGCAGGAGGAGGAGACCCTGGTGGAGCAGCTGGTGGTGTAGGAGGAGGAGACCCTGGTGGAGGAGCTGGTGGTGCAGGAGGAGGAGACTCTGGTGGAGGAGTTGGTGGTGCAGGAGGAGGAGACCTTGGTGGAGGAGATCGTGGTGGAAGAGATGGTGGTGGAGGAGAAGGAGAAAACAAGGGTAGAGGATCAGGTGGTGGTGATGCAGGAGAAGAGGAAGCCAGGGGGCCTGGCTCGCATGGGGAGAGTCATCCGCTCACTCCTCCGACGCGTACTGCTGTGTGGTGGCCGTTCCACCGCACAGTAAAGATGGTGGTGGTCGTTGATCGGTGTGATCCACGACCACTATCACCACACCCACCGCACACACCCTGCACCCACCCACCCCGTGACACCCACCAACCTCCACACACACCCTGCACCCACCCACCCCGTGACACCCACTACACACCACACTCCACACACACCCTGCACCCACCCCGTGATACCCACCACCCACCACACACCACATACACCCTGCACCCACCCCGTGACACCCACCACACACCACACTCCACACACACCCTGCACCCACCCACCCCGTGACACCCACCACACACCACACACACCCTGCACCCACCCCGTGACACCCACCACACACCACACTCCACACACACCCTGCACCCACCCACCCCGTGACCCCCACCACACACCACACTCCACACAAAGGGTTAAGGGTTTTGAGGGTTAGGTGTTTAAAGGATTAGGGGTGGAGAGATCTATGGGTTTAGAGAATTATTGTTTTAACAGTAAAAGGGTTTAGAGTGTTAGGGGGTTTGGGATTTTTGGGTATTTGGGTTAGGGTTTCAAAGGGTGAGGAGTTAGATGGATAGGGTTTTATGGGTAAATCGGTTTTAAGGGTTGGGGATTTAGAGGATTATAAGTTGAGGGTTTAGAGATGTACAGGGTGAGGGGTTTAGAGGTTTAGGTATTTAGAGGGTTTGGGGTTTAGAGGTTTAGGGGTTGAGAGGGTGAGGGTTTTAAGGGTAAAGGGGTTTAAGATTTTAGCGATGTAGAGGGTGATGAGCTTACAGGGTTAGGGTTTTAGAGGGTTACAGTTTAGAAGGTTATGGGTTCCGATTGTTACAGGGATAGGGTTTTAGAGGGTTACAGTTTATAAGGTTACGTGTTAAGGGTTTAGAGGTTTTGAGGTTTTTAGGGGATCAGCGTCTTCGAGGTGTTTAGGGGTTGAGCGTATTAGGGGTTGAGGATTTTAAGGGTTAGGGGTTTAGAGGGTTGGTGTTTAGAGGGTTAGGGGTGTAGAGGTGTAGGGATTTCGAGGATTCGGAATTTAACGGTAAAGGGGTTTAGAGTGTTAGGGGGTTTGGGGTTTCAGGGTATTTGGGTTTGGGTTTCAAAGGGTGAGGAGTTTAGAAGGATAGGGTTTTATGTGTAAAGGCGTTTAGATGGGTAGGGATTTAGAGGATTATAAGTTAAGGAGTTTAGAGGTTTACAGGGTGATGGGTTTAGGGGTTTATAGGATTCGGAGTTTAGAGGTGTCGAGGTTTAGGGGTTTAAAGGATTAGGGTTTCAAGGATAAAGGGGTTTAGAGGGTTAGGGGTTTAGAGAGGTATGTGTTTGAAGTGTTTATAGGTTTTGATTGTTATAGGTTTAGTGGTTTAGAGGGATAGGAGCTTATGAGTTAAACAATTTACGGGTTTTGAAGAGTTAGTGTGTTTTGGGGATAAGGGGTTTCGAGGTTTATGGATTTCGAGGGTTTCGGGTTCAGGGGTTGAGTGTGTTAGGGCTTGAGGGGATTCAAGGGTTAGGGGTTTAGGGGGTTAGGCTATTAAGAGTGTACGAGTTTAGAGGGTGAGGGATTTAGACAGTTAGAGTTTTAGGGGTTTATGGGTTGGGTTTTAGAGGGGAGAGGGTTTTAGACGGTTAGAGTTTTAAGGATAAGGTCCTTTAGATGATTAGGTGTTTAGAATGTTAGAGTTTAGAGGATTTTGGGGTTAGAGGGTGAGGGGTTTAGAGAGTTAGGTTTTTAGAGGTTTATAGGTTTCGATTGTTAGAGGTTGAATGGTTTAGATGGTTAGGAGTTGTGGAGGTTATAAGGGTATGTGTTTAGAGGTTTAGAGGTATGGGGGTTTTGAGGGTTATGGGTTTAGAGGATGATTGGGTTTAGGGGTTTAGAGGGTTAGGGGTGTTGGGGTTTGGGAGTTTAGAGGGTTTAACACCAAGACTTTGACAACTAATATTATCTATACTAAAGATGTTTTGGATTAGTCTCCAACACTTAATGGCACTTTTTGTTGACGTGACAAACTTTACTAATTGGCTGTGTCGGATGGTTTTTGATTTAACGACACATTTATATTTACACGATCTAACCCGAAAATATATTTATTATGGTTTTGGAGGGTTAGGGGCTTTGAGTGTTATGTGTTTAGAGGGTTAGCATTTTAGGGGTATAGGTGTGTTAAGGGTTAGGCGTCTTGAGGGTTAGTTCTTTAGAGGGTATGGGTGTTATAGGTATAAGGGTTTAGAGGGTTTAGTATTTAGAGAGTGATGGTTTTAGGGGTATAGGGGTTTTAAGGGTTAGAGATCTAGAGCGTTAGTTCTTTAGAGGGTTATGGTTTACATTGTTTGGGATTTAGGTTAGGGATTTAGGGTCTTAGAAGGTTAGGGTTTCGAGGTTTAGAGTGTTAAGGTTTTAGAGTGTTTACAGGCTTTGGTTTTTAATTGCTTAGAAGGTTAGGGTTCCAATGGTTAGGGTTTAGAGGGTGATGGGTTTTTGGTGGGTTAGGGTGTAATGGTTGAGGGTTAGGAGTATAGGAATTTAGAGGGTTGGGGGTTTAGATGGTTAGGGCATTTCGGGGGTTTATAGGTTTAGATTTTAGAGGGTGAGGGGTTTAGCTGGTTAGGGTTTTAAGGGTAAAGGGGTTTAGAGCGTTTAGGATTTAGAGGTTTAGGGTTTAGCAGGTTATGGGTTTAGAGGGTTAGGGGTTTAGATAGTTATGTGTTTGGATGTTTAGAGGGTTTATGGGTTTTAATTGTTAGATGTTTAGTGGTTTAGGTCTCTGTGTGAGTCTAACTGGTCTGTGTGATTCTATGGTAAGATTAATAGAGTTCATACTCTTTGGTTCTTTCGGTCAAGTCACGTAGGTAGAAATAAAATTAAACAAATCACGATGTATCGATCGCAACACAAGCGATCTTCATCAGGTGGGACAACCACAGCAAGAAAATGCTGAAGTCGGCGGGAGAGCTGCCGTGGCAAGAGGTTATATAGTTAAGAGAGGGGGGAGGAGGCAAGGGGAAAGAGAGGGGGGGTGTGGGGTAGGGAGAGGGGGGGGCACATGAGCCCTCGGGGAAGAGAACTTGAGGCTGAGGGGGGGGGGGAGTGGGCGGGGCTAGAAGTGGGAAGGTGGTGGAAGAACAGATAGAGGACTTGAGGCTGGGGGGGGGGGGGGGTACGTGGGCGTGGCTAGCAGTAAACCAGCAGGTAATTGTGGATACAACAACAAGTTAAGGCATTACCTGGTTCATAACATCCTTCCAATGATTGTTCAATTTTTATCCATCTTCTCGGTTGAAGTTTTTTCTATGTTTATATATCTGGACGGCTTCATGACCAAACATTTGATAGTAGCCCGAAGGTTTTCAGAGTACTTTGGTCTCGGAAAATAACAATATCATGCGAGCCCACAGCGTTATACCAATGGTCAGCTACGGCAGAGGTATTGGTTCTGCCATGTTTCAGATCTGCCTTGTGTTTGCCAACACTGTCCGAGACATGTCGTTTCGTTTCCCCAATGTAACTGCTACCGCAGGTACAACTCAGTTTGTAGACTCCAGGGTATTGCATGTCAGGAATGACC